ATACTGACCATGTTTGGTACCAAACTGTCTGGTAAATGTATACAAGTCCGTGCTTGGTACTGAAGAATTTATTATACTCATGTTTGGTACCAAACTGTCAGATAAATGTATACAAGTCTGTGCTTGGGACTGAAGAATTTATGTATCATGTTTGGTACCAAACTGTCTAGAATATTTATGCAATTATGCAATAAACTATCTAGTTAATGTACAAAGACCATGTCTGGTACCAAAATATTTTCCAATGTACATTTTACACTACAAAAGAGTCTCACTAGCTAGATGTACACTGAACAGGGACTGCTTGTCTTCTGCCAGCAGCTGCAACAAAGGTATACCCAGTAATTACACAACATGCCTGGTACAGGACAGCTGGATGTATTTCATGGACAAATTCTGTTAGAGCCTGGGACATAAAACCTGCTGTTGTTCGGCAAAAGGGACAGAAACCTCCCACAATACCTTACAGCAAGACTGAGCAACCAAGTTGACTGTGACCTGTTCTCGAAAACAGTTGCTTGGTATCTGGGGAAATAGCAGGCCGAAAAAGTCCTTACATCTGATTTCGTTCTCTGACTTTTTAACTCATTCACCCCTAAAATTTCTTAATGAACTGTTCCATCCTTTGAATTGGAAGAGTTCAAATGTGTCTTCAGGGGTGAATGATTAACCATTGATGAATTTATTGACAAATGATAGATACTCTTTCTATGAGCTGACATTTGAGGTGGATGGTTTTCTGGCACATTTGAAATGTTTACATCAATTATGATACTGATAATTGTGGTGTTGCATCATTCTCAATATTTCAAGCATACTTGAAATGTTAATTTCTTCCCTCTGGTAATGAAAAAAAGGACCATTCATTGTACATTTTTGAATATAGTTCTTCAAAAAGAGAACTTCGTTTTGGTGATGATTTTTAACGTATTCTGAAGTATGGTAATGGATCGGGATGTAAATGTTTGTTTGAACCTGAGACCTATTTTATACATTTGGCATTAAAATGTGTCAGTAAGCGAGTGAAAGGCACAGATATGTACAAATCCAAATATTGCTGCTAGGTGGCTAATGTCTGTGATTGTATCACAAATAATTTGTATTAAAGAATCTCTGCAGGTTAGCTTTAAGTGAATTTTATCCTTGTAATGGAGTAAAATGTGCACAAGATGAATGTCGTGGTATGCTGTAGTGTAAGAACACCATGGCCACAAGCTGCACAGCCACACATCACTTCCGCTATACCTTACTATCTTATTGACTTGAAACACTAATCGCTCTGCCTGGAAAAGTGTGCTGACGTCACTAGCGTTCCTGTGTAGCTATTCCTGGCTTGCTGATCAATGGTACAACCTAATGACAATGGAGTTGGCCTGGTGCATCAGGGTTGTGATGTCATATTTATGGACAGACCATCGTGTACATTTATTTCTGTCTGCCAGTCAGACTCCAATGTTAAACTAGGAAGTAGGGCATCCATGGTCGCCATTCAAATGGGTCAAAGGTTGTACACATGTCAATGCTTTCAGTACTTCAGCTTTGGCTTTAGAACAATAAAAGTCTGGTGCTGTAAGGACACTGCTGATAAAATACTACTCTAGAATATAGTCCAGTTCCAAGGATTTATTAGTGTTTCTCCCACACCTGACAGATTTATCTCCCGTTTTGCCGGTGCTAGATTTATCTGTCTCCGCCCTAGGGTTGAGATGGGGGGGGGGGGATTCCCCTATTCATAACAATGGCATGACGTCCCTTCAACAATACAATGATGTCACGTCAACAATCCATCAACAAATTGGCTGTATGTGTTTTGGGTTCATGTTTACCTTTATTTCACATCAAAATACTGTTAGATATGGGAGAAAAATAATCAATCGCTACTGGTTGTGTAGGATAGAGAAATCTAAACCCTCGGACTAAGATTTTTTGTCCAGAACGAGGCTCGTAGGCCTCGGGTTGAGATTTCTCTATCTTACACAACCAGTAGCGATAGATTCTATTATTATACCATTCAAACAGTTAGTTCAGATTAGATATGTTGGATAATCATACCCAGATCAGGGATACTTTCATTACTATTGTCAGTTGACAGTAACACGGACATCTCCTATCATAATACATATTTAAACATTTTCACATATTAAAAAGATAAGCCAGAGAGGCAAAAGACCTGAGGGTTGTTACTGGGTAGGATATCAAAAGGGTCGTATTATAAAAATTTTATGATACAATTATACATATTATACATATTTTAATAAGGAAAAGGAAGAGCAAATGCCAATAGTCTGTTAAAACAGACTTAAGCTCATTTATCCTCAACTTGGATACCAAGCCAGATACAGAGTGTCTCACCAATATATATATACGGAGACTTCAGGGGAAAATGGGTCACAACAAGAGATTTTTGAGATTTCTTAGATGGTGATGGTCTTTGACCATTCAAACATCCAAATTGTTATGAAATATCACCACCTGAGGCCTACTGTTTGTAAATATTTTAGGTCAACATGAATATTACTAGGATTGATTAAGGCATAATATTTCTGAAATGTTTTGAAACAGGGTATAGCAGTTATAGCCTACACTGAGCAGATATGGCAGGTGCAGTCAGATCATGGGTTGGTCAAGGCTGTTGCCTATACACAGCTAGCTTTATCAAACATGCAAAACAACCTAGATTAAGGACAAGTGTGTGATAATTTCATTCATTGTGGAAGTCTCTTACTCGTAAATATCCCACACCTTTATAACATCATCTACATACCTCATAGTTCTAGCTAAGCAAAACTAATATAAATTAACAAATCAAATCAAAACAATCAATTTCTATCATTTTCATAAATTATCAGACACATGCTATCTCGAATGATAATATATGTGAAAACATTTTCAAGCAATCTTCAGCACCATGGTGTCACAGGGATGTTAAATCTTTGCATTTATCAGTTAACTTGACAATTTAAAATGCTGAATCTTCCTACTGTATTTGTCTGAAAATAAGCCCATGCCCGGTAATAAGCCCACCCACATCTACTGTAGATCAGTGGAAATGCCAACAGACCTGATTTGGTTGTCCTGTAATAAGCCCACCCACATCAACTGTAGATCAGTGGAAATGCCAACAGACCTGAGTTGGTTGTCCTGTAATAAGCCCACCCACATCTACTGTAGATCAGTGGAAATGCCAACAGACCTGAGTTGGTTGTCATGTAATAAGCACACACACATCTACTGTACATCAGTAGAAATGCCAACAGACCTGAGTTGGTTGTCCTGTAATAAGCCTACCCACATCTACTGTAATACCAACAGACCTGAGTTGGTTGTCCTGTAGTAAGCCAACCCACATCTACTGTAGATCAGTGGAAATGCCACCAGACCTGAGTTGGTTGTCCTGTAATAAGCCCACCCACATCTACTGTAATACCAACAGACCTGAGTTGGTTGTCCTGTAGTAAGCCACCCACATCTACTGTACATCAGTGGAAATGCCAACAGACCTGAGTTGGTTGTCCTGTAATAAGCCAACCCCATACTTCGAGTCAGAGATTGTGTGTTGGGCCCTTGGGCAGGATAAAGACAGTATTCACAAAAAGTTAAATAAAATACCTTTACTAATATTTCTTTTTTGCCAGTTTGTAATGTTACCCAAGCTGAAGTAACACAGTTTCAAATGAACTTTTCTTTATCTAAGTTGATGATTGTACAGGGTCAATTAAAAGACATAACCTTGAACAAAATTGTTCCTGTAGTCAATTTGTAGTGGTATCTTACCTGAAGAGAGGAAGCTCTTCATCTTTGTTGATGATTTCTTCGGACGACCATTAACAATTGTATTTGTCTGATGGAAGTTGTATTGACAGTGGTTGAGCTTTTTAACATGTTTGATTCTATAAAACCCTATGTGCACCCTATGTACTGCTGCTGAACTGGTTGGAATATGAAGCAAGTGATCAGTCGGCGATTTTCATTTTTTTCAGTTTGAATCCTTACTTTCATGGTTTTAATCTACAATGATTTTTATCAAACTTTCGTGTCTCTTCAGGAAAATGTGGAGTACATCTTTTTGGTGATCTTCACACTAGAGGCAGTCATGAAGATAATTGCGTATGGTTTTGCCCTCCATGCTGGTGCTTATCTACGTAATGGATGGAATATTCTAGATTTTATCATCGTAGTCATTGGGTAAGTTGACAATCATTAACTACCTCTGTTCACTAACATATTCTTTGTTTCCTCTAATTGCTTTAATCAGAAGTTTTCAAATGTGTCATGTTGTCTCCTGTATGTTGGTTGACTCTGGTTTTTTGCCCTGAGGCTTCCGCTCTGCTAACGTATCTCTGTTCTTTTTCAGCTTCTTCATGATTTGTGCACTTATAGCCTTATTATCTCAGTCACGATGCAGGCCTTGTTGGAATGATCTTTAAAGTCACGATTACAATTTATTTGCGAAATTATCGTTATGGCCTTGAACAAATTTCAAAGCATCTTGCAATCTTGTTTCATGCCCTGTATTCAATATTCTGTGAAACTATTACAATTTGTTTTCTTTATATGTACTCAAGGGAGGTAATTCAAATTAACAAAAAAATTGTTCAATGATCAAACCCAGTCCCTGCTCACCTGATTACCCAGTCCTGATATTCAGGAGTTTGATTTGTAGAAATGAGCGTGTCGCTGTGCTTACTAATGGATAGATACCAGTGATTTGTCAACTACTGTGACAGTAGGATGTAGTGCAATTGCCTTCTTGCTGAAGATGAATGAGATACATTGAGTCAGGTTTTTAGGTTAATGCACCAATTACTGGTAGTCACTGGCTCTCCATGAAACTCAGTAGTCCTATAGACTTCTCACTTGGTCTCCAACATTGAAACTCTGTAGTCCTATAGACTTCTCACTGGCTCTCCAACATTGAAACTCTGTAGTCTTATAGACTTCTCACTGGCTCTCCAACATTGAAACTCAGTAGTCTTATAGACTTCTCGCTGGCTCTCCAACATTGAAACTCTGTAGTCTTATAGACTTCTCACTGGCACTCCAACATTGAAACTCTGTAGTCTTATAGACTTCTGACTGGCACTCCAACATTGAAACTCAGTTGTCCTATAGACTTCTCACTGGCACTCCAACATTGAAACTCTGTAGTCTTATAGACTTCTCACTGGCACTCCAACATTGAAACTCAGTAGTCCTATAGACTTCTCACTGGCTCTCCAACATTGAAACTCAGTTGTCCTATAGACTTCTCACTGGCACTCCAACATTGAAACTTTGTAGTCTTATAGACTTCTGACTGGCACTCCAACATTGAAACTCTGTAGTCTTATAGACTTCTCGCTGGCTCTCCAACATTGAAACTCTGTAGTCTTATAGACTTCTCACTGGCACTCCAACATTGAAACTTTGTAGTCTTATAGACTTCTGACTGGCTCTCCAACATTGAAACTCTGTAGTCTTATAGACTTCTGACTGTCACTCCAACATTGAAACTCTGTAGTCTTATAGACTTCTCACTGGCTCTCCAACATTGAAACTAAGTTGTCCTATAGACTTCTCACTGGCACTCCAACATTGAAACTTTGTAGTCTTATAGACTTCTGACTGGCTCTCCAACATTGAAACTCTGTAGTCTTATAGACTTCTCACTGGCTCTCCAACATTGAAACTCAGTTGTCCTATAGACTTCTCACTGGTACTCCAACATTGAAACTCAGTTGTCCTATAGACTTCTGACTGGCACTCCAACATTGAAACTCAATTGTCCTATAGACTTCTCACTGGCACTCCAACATTGAAACTCTGTAGTCTTATAGACTTCTCACTGGCACTCCAACATTGAAACTCAGTAGTCTTATAGACTTCGCACTGGCACTCCAACATTGAAACTCAGTAGTCTTATAGACTTCTCACTGGCACTCCAACATTGAAACTCTGTAGTCCTATAGACTTCTGACTGGCTCTCCATGAAACTCAGTAGTCCTATAGACTTCTCACTGGCACTCCAACATTGAATCTCAGTAGTCCTATAGACGTCTCACTGGCTCTCCATGAAACTCTCTAGTCCTATAGACTTCTCGCTGGCACTCCAACATTGGAACTCAGTAGTCCTATAGACTTCTCACTGGCTCTCCATGAAACTCAGTAGTCCTATAGACTTCTCACTGGCACTCCAACATTGAAACTCAGTAGTCCTATAGACTCCTCGCTGGCCCTCCAACATTGAAACTCAGTAGTCCTATAGACTTCTCACTGGCACTCCAACATTGAAACTCTGTAGTCTTATAGACTTCTCACTGGCTCTCCAACATTGAAACTCTGTAGTCCTATAGACTTCTCACTGGCCCTCAAACATTTGAACTCTGTCATCCTTAGCCCTCTGGCTCTCAAACATTGGAACTCTGTCATCCTTATCCCTCTGGCTCTCAAACATTAAAACACACCTAAATCCCAATGACTTCTTGCTTTTTACCATATTGCTCTTATATTGACATCATTTTTTCAACCTGTTTCTAATAAGCCATTCTCTTTCAGATATCTGTCCATTTTACCATTCTTTTTATCTTACTGTCTTTATCTCATAACTTGCTTCCACCGGTTTGTAATTAGTATTTTTGAATTCTTCTATAATTGCTGAATTTGACCCGATGGTGCCCTCTTTACTCTGAGCTTATCTGCAATGATGGCCTAGCTTGCTTTTGTCCCCACTGTGTAAGGTAGCTAGGGGGAGTGTGATTGTTGTGAAGACTACAGCTAATTGGTGCATTAGATAAATCATTGTGTACTGTTTGTGTTTTAAAACTCAAATACTTGATTCAGATATATGTACTTATTAAAAAGAGAATAGAAACATACTAATTTTATTTGTTTGAATAATGTTTGTGTTTTAACTAATGTCCTATGACTGTATGTATACTGTATTATGATAAGCATGAATTTGATTTTAAACTGTGTGAATACTAACCGGTAAGGAAGAGGCAGCATATATGTGGGAGACATCTGACTGGTATCGTTAATGTGAAGCCAAGTGCTGATTTAAGCTGATGTAAAAGACGGCAGAGTTGCCTGCTCTACTCTCCTCATCCTACTTTAACATGTGTTTTAAAGGCAAATTGATTCTGTTTTGTTTACTAGTCTTATCACTATAATAATAATGTGAGTACGCATACTATTATTGAGCATGCAGTATCGATCCATTGTCTCTTCCTGTCAACTGTTTAGTTGCTTTTGTTGATTATTGGTCTTCACTGCTCAAATTACCGTAAATGTTCTGTAGCCACCTAGGTAATATCCACGGAACGAAGGCACAACCATTGCAGCGTAGACGGATGGCCATCTGGCATCCATTCATCAGTATAATTTGACATTTTGTAGACGTGCTGTATTGTGTCATTTTGAAAAAGAAGTGAAAAATCTATTGTTTATTGTTCTAATTTCATTGATTTTTTGAGTTTTTAACTTTTTTGGATTTAAAATTTATGCACTTCAATGCTTTAAATAATTTCTTTGTATGTAGTGTGTTGAACAAAGTTTGATAATCATATAATCAGTATAAGTGAAATAATCTCAATAAAAAGTCGAGAGTGAAAAAACAGAAAAAATAAGCTATGTAAAAAAAAAAATCATTACCTCATCAAATGTTGATTTATGAACAAAGATAAAAAAAACTTCATTGGACAATATTGCGCATTGTTAAGCGACTGTAATAGAAGACCTGTTTCTTCTGAAATAGTATACATAGACTTTTCTATACCAGTTGGATACCATGTCATAACATGCAATGAATTTTGATCAGCTCTCATATCAGGATAACAGTTGCATGCAGTAATTTAAATTTGATGATACTGTTAGGATTTATTTTGTAATCCATGTGATGCACAGGTAAATAAACCTTCCTGACTGTGGGCTTTGTTGTAAATTTGTTCGTCCCCCAAATAAGTATTATGTGTAAGCCCTACAGTCACGTCGATGATTTTTTTTCTTGATGTCTGTATGTCACAGAATGTATATATATATTGCATGCAGATATGATTGACAAGATCTTTAAAATGTATTTTTTGTGAGTTTTTCATAATTTGATGGTCATAGAAGATTTGAATTGTTATTTTAAGTGCATAAAGTTGTGTAGGTATTTGTGTGATAAAGCTACTTAGTATTATGTTGGATTCCCGTTAGTTTTGACTCAATTTTATGTGGCTGACAGTGTCTCGGGCGACACTATTTTATTCCTGTTTGACATGTTTTTATCACCTTTCAAGTGTTGCACATTCTTAATTTTGGAACATTGTCGAACTCATGTTACGTTACTTGTACTTAATTCATTGTGATACAATAATATAATTGACAAGAACGTGTATTTGTTTGATTATAATTGTATTTTTTATTTGACACAGATGAGATAATTTCATTAATTTTGCCATTAATCCTTTACTGCACTACTGATTTTAGATATTTTATTATTTTCTGTAAATCATTATGAAAAACACAGTTGTAAGTGTCCCAGAGTCAGGAAATATTCTATAATTTATAAAGAAATCTTGTATCATATGTTTCGTTAATGATATTTGAGTTGGCAGATGGAGGACATCTCATTAGTCTTTGTCTGGTAGAGCCTCTGTGTATATACCTTTGACTACTGTAGACCAGTTGGTGCCTACAATGTATCTGGATTGGAGTAAGATACATAGCTGCTGGAGGATAATGATAACAGATAGGCCATGGTCACATACCTTGTCAAAACAGCTTCGTTTTACATAATTACCATATGGGTTTTACTATTGCATCAATTTGGATAGTTTTTGAACTGTTTCTGACTTAATGGATAAATTCTGTGTTCTGTATTAGAAAGTTATGACATAATGTGTGCTGAAGGATGGGAAAGAATGAAAGGGGGCTCAAACAATCAACTAGGACCCCACACAAACTAAATTACATAGCTTTATGTTGATACAAAAACTTGAAGCCATGTGCATGAAAAAAACATGTAGGCCAGAAATTTACAAAAAAATGTTGGAAAAGATTAAAACAAAGTAGGAATTATATTCAAAACTTCATTGAATACGTCGGTGTAATAGTTATTTATGTAGGTGAAGATAACGTAATTCAAAAGGTTACACATGTTGTGAATGCAAAGGTAGTTTATCAGTGACAAAGATGGCTGTCGATTACCAACCGATTTCTCATCA